GAGTCATATACATCGCTACAGCGACGAGTACGACGAATTATTTAAATATAGGTATATATATGAATGGTATAATAATTATAAACACCTTTATGATGGTTCCATTTTTACAAATTGTACTAGTACCCTCGAAACGTCTCTCTCGTTTGTTTTCCGCGAGTAATTGAAAAATAAGGAGAGAAAGTGTGAGTGTGTGTTGAGTATGAGAGAGAGAGAGAGAGAGAAGAAAATACTCCAACGCGTTTACTGTACAGATTGGTAAGACTGCAGGCATTTATATATACCTTATTAAAGACCAATCAAGAAGAGCAAAATAATTTTCCAGATTTTCCTGGAAAATAGTATTGAACAAACAGAATAGAATAGGTTAAATTTTTACTAATGTCATAATAGTTTTTTTTTTTTGTAATAAAATATTATAAACGATCATTCATGCGATAAAATAGCATATCGAATTGCAAACGAATAAATATATATTATTGTGTATAGGCTCAATGCAAGATTGAGCAAAACCGATTTATATGTAATTGTACCTATATCACATGGGCGTTTGCATCATTAGTTAGAAATAATAATAATAATAATTATTAAAAAAAATAAAATCTCAAACAAAAATAAAACTAGTACTTATCTATACATGACTATATTATATTATGTTATAATTAGTAAGAAATAATAATAAAAAAAAAAACACACTGTCCTTTCTCCCCCCCCCCCCCCCTACAGATATCACCCTGCAGTATATACTGTAAGTATGTATGTATATAAATGCGTGTGTATGTGTGTTTGTGTGTTATTTTCTTCGCATATTAATTTCGTATTAATTTATCATATCGGATTACTTAATAATGTACATTATATATATTATATATAATTAAACACAGCCATTGTTCCGGAATCTCGCCTAAATAATTTGTTCAATGTTGCAAGAGTATATATATATATATATATGTATATATATATATATATATATATATACATCCCAAGTACGCCTGAGCCTGCACCCTTAACACCATTATTATCCTAGAATAATACAATATATATTATATAATATATAATATACCTATGTATAAGACAATGCGTCTAAAATAATATATGTACCTATATTTAGGAGTACAATGTCAAATGAATAAATAATAATAACGATGAAAAAAAAAGATTTTGAAAAAAAATTACACAGACGTGACTATATAATAATAATAATCATAATAATAATAATAATAATAAGAATAATAATAATATTACATGTACTCGGTTACAGCTACAATAATGATAATAATGTTTCTAACACGCTAATCGGGTGAATAAAAGTAACATGAAAACGCTTAACGAACAACAAACAACATTAAAAATGACTAAATTAATTAATTATTCTATTTTTATTATATATGTATAAAAAAAGCTTAAGTATATTATATTTTTTCAAAATTTATTTATTTTTGGAAATTTTTGAAAATTGTTAAATACATTTTCTTTTTATATATTATAATATATTAATGTATGTATTATTTTCCTTTTATCGAATTGTACAGAATTCATACACGCTTTACGTCGTTCAAATAATAGTTAATAAAATAAAAAAAAAAACGGAGGTAATGATGGAAAACATAAACCTAATAAAAATTTAAAAAAGAAATAATAATAAGTTATTAATGTTAAGTATAAATAAAAATATATAAAGAGGCGAGTTAATTAACAAAAAAAATTGGCTATTTTGTACTTTTGTTACAAGTATTTGTGAAATATCGTACTGTTTTACATATATTATTAACATTATATAAACATGAGGTAGAGCTGTAAAAAAGCTTAATAATAGTTATACATTTTACGAAAAAATTGTACTATTACAGTTACGAGTTTTGACTATTACAATTAATATATTATTTATATTTATCAGTTAATTATGTATACGCGGTGTGTTTGAGATTTGTGAGTTATGTGTTTTAATACTGTTATTGAGCAATATTTATCTTCTTAGTAAAATTGTACAATATTACATATAATATTATGTCCTATGTTTATATATGTCATGTTATCTCTGGCTCTGGTCCGGCCACCCAAATCTCAGTCTATTTATTATCCGTATCGTATATTATCATAAATGCACATCATTGACATTATATTATAATAGTAAAATTAGCAATAATATAATTATTATAACATCATATTAATATTTTGTAATATTATACTGTTTCAGATAGTATACAAAACACTCTAACGCGTTACAATACCTTCATAATAATATATACACTCATACAACTGTGTGTGTGTTATGATACACAATACATCATAATATATGCAATATTACATATAATTTATTCACTATTACAATTCACTATTAAAATTCACAAACTTACACCTACACAATACCATTATTATCACCCGTTTTCTCGTCTCTGCTTATAATTAATTATTATAACACCTATATATCTGGTCATAACCCGTACTCGCGACGTAACAATGTGGGTAACAAATTGCCATGTATGTTTATCACAATCGTAGTCACAATAATAATATACTCTCTATCATGTTTTATTATAATAATATAATATTCCCTATTTTTGTTTGTTTGCTTGTTTTTTTTTTGTTTTTTTTTTTAAATTTTTTTTTATGTTTCGACGTTTTAATACATATCACTTCCCTAGCCGTTTCTATCACAGATACAATCACATGACATTTCCTTGACAATTTCTCAAGATAAATATATGCTTATTACGAGAGACAAAATAAAAATAAAAATACATAAAAGCCCTATTGAATAAATCCTAATAATCTAAATAATAATAATATGTTTCCGTTAAAATAAAAATGTTGAATTGTCTAGTTCTGTAACACATCACTTTGGGACGTACGACGGAAAGTGTGAAACACTCTGAATATTCATTTGTGACGTCCCCAATCACTATTGTAATGTAATTTCACATTTATCACATACAAGTTTTATAGAAAAAAAAATTACAATAAAATAAAAATTATCACATCAAAAATCGCGAACGAATATAACCGACCGTGAATATGCGAGTAAACGTATTTATAGATATACATACAAAGTAACAAAAAATTAAAACAATATAAATATGTCAAATATTTTTAAGATAAAAGCACGACGATTTACGAAATAAAAAACAAACCGTACGTCTGATCACATAAACAAAAACAATTTTGATTTTTTTTTTCAAAGGAAATATAAACGTTAATTTATATGACTAGAGAATTATAATTATATATATACACACATATATATATATATATATATATATATATACTTATATAATTTAGTTCTTTTTTGTTGTTGTTGCTATCTTTCGTTCGTGTACGATTGAGTTGGATTCGATATACACAGTGTATATACGCTTATATATTATATATTTTGTATTATTATTATATAATTAAAATGTTATTAAAATATTTATAGGCCGTTGTCGTTCTTCGACGTTCGATTTCACCTCCGCACGACGGCAATGGTTCAAAAGGGACGGTATAGTATAGAGATGTAATGATAAATATGCTTAGGTAATCGCCGCGAACATTATGCACGTCGGTTATGCGTTATCGGTCGGTTTTAATTGTTTCAAATTATAGAAAAAATAATCTACAACAATAAAAATCACCGGACATATAATATACTGTTTATGTTGTTGTATGGCGGTTCGACGGTATGTAATTAGGCGTATAAAATCACGTTAAAAAAAATTGAGCTTTTCTCCGAGTGCCGCGATCAAAAATCGAATCGACCGACGTCAACGACGCACAATAAATGTCGGGCGTGTAATTATTATATTATAATTAGAGCGCGGATTTCTATGCCATTGCATATTTTTTTCCTTTTAATATTTTTGGATTTTTGTCAGTTATCTCCACGAATTATCATAATTTGAAGCTAATGGTGAAATTTTTTTTTGCATATTTCTGCATATTTGAAGGTTATTGCATATTTTTGCATATTTTGACAAAATTCAAAATTTATTGCATATTGAAGCGAAAATTTAAAAAAATGTATAGGATAATATTTTGTCAAGTAGAATGATTTAAAATTTATATCTATTCATTTGGCATTTTTAGTGATAAAAATAGTCATAAAAAAAACTGGAAACTCGAAATATGACTTTATATCTAAGCTTTTCAATAATTGACGAAACGAAAGAAAAAATGCATTCTATTCCTGGATTGAAAGGTGTAACACTTACAACAAAATTAAACGAGCTTTCCAATAAAAATGAAGGTCTGAAAATTCTACGAAAAATTAATTCAGTGTTATTAAGTGAAAACGTTCATCTTGAAGATCTTTATCAAGATCCGACAATACTAAGTTGCTTCAAATATGCCCCAATAACTTCGGTTGACGTCAAACGTTCGTTCTCAGTCTTTAAAAATATGTTAATCGATAAATGATACAACTTCACAGAAGAAAAACTTGAAATGCATATGATTATTAATTTTAATAATAAATACAATTTTAAAAATAAATTAAGTTTAGAAATTATTTATTATTAAGTATTTAAGTAATTAATTATTATAAGTTTTATTGTAAATTTTAAATAAATAAAAAATTCTTGTATATTTTTGCATATTTTCATAATTTTGACTGCATATTTTCATTATTTTTACTGCATATTATATGCCATATTTCGATACTTTTAAGTGCATAAAAATCCGCGCTTTAATTATAATATATTGTTATGGCGTTCCTAACGTGTGGAAAATAACGTGGCGGAGATTGGAAACGAAAGAAACGGAAAAAAGGAAACCATTGAATTTACAAACTGACCATCGGAAACGAGGGACAGCGTGTGAAGATAAGACGAGAAGAGAAATAATAAATTAAAACAGACGCGTATTTGCCGAGAGGAAATCCGTTTTGAACCATATAGCGTCGGAACGCGCGTCGTATATTTATCTATAGATCGATTAATATTAGTATAATATTAATAATAATCATAATAATAATAATAATAATGATAATAATAATAATTTTAATAATAATAATAATAATAATAATGACGACGACGACAACAACAACACGTCATATTTTATACACGACGACGATGGTATATAATATTATTATACCAATAATGAAGCTATCAATATTGATACTCAATATAGTCGCGCGGAGGCGTTCAACGCTGATGGTTGTTGTGTATGTGCGTGGTCAGGTGTTTGGACAGGTAATCGGCCCTGGCGAAACACTTGCCGCACATCTCGCAGTGGTACGGCCGCTCGCCGGTGTGGATGCGCAGATGTCGGGTCAGATCGCTCTTGCCGCCGAACGCGCGGCCGCAGAACAAGCACGCAAACGGCCGTTCGCCCGTGTGCTTGCGCACGTGCAGCTTTAGGTTTTCCTTGGATCGGACGCACTTGCCGCAGAACGGGCACGCGAACGATTTGGCGTCTCGGCTGTTGTTGTTATTATTGTTGTTGTTGTTGTTGTTGTTGTTGTTGTTGCTGCTGTGGTTGTTAATTCCACTGCCGTTGCTGGTGGCGGTAGTGGCAGCGGCCGTCGTCACGGCTGCAGCGGCCGCGGCGATCACGGACACCGGAGTGGACCCGGCCACCGCGGCGGCGGCCGTCCGTTGAGCGTTCGATCTGAGCATGTTGAACAGCGACGGCGGCGAAGTGACGGCCGCGTCACCGGCTTTTTGCTGCGCGGCCGCCGACGTCGCTGCGGACACCACTTCGTTCGTGCTGGTCACTTGGCTGTCGGACGCCGACGACTTGGTGGCTGTCGGTGTCGCCGGCACGTCTCGGCTGTCGTCGCTGTGCGCCGCCGTCACCGCCGCCGGCACGTCTCGCTGTAGCCTTTCCAGCGCGTGGTTGAGCCGATGCTTTTTGAACGACTTGAGATACCTGCGAAAAGACACACACGACATGTAGGTACACGTTGCACGCTTAGTACCCCCCCGTGACTAGTGACAGATCTATTGGATTTTTTTTTTTGGTGGGTGCTGTTTTGTTAATAATAGACCTTAAGTACGTTTTATTAATATATATATGTATAATTCGGGGGAAATTTATAAGCAATTTAACATATATTATTTTTCAATAATTAGGTACGTAACAATATACAAATTTTGTTCTGGTCACTCGGCGAATTATTAGTAATTTTTAATAAAAATACGCGGAACGGTGAGTGCTTCAGCTCCCAATCGACCCCCTCCCCTCCTTCCACTACTTGTGACGTGCTGAGGTTCTTGTCTGCAGACGCGTCTGACATGGCGTGTTCCGATCGGTGTGTGTTTATCGGCCGCGATAGCGTCGTTGCTCGCGAGAGAACGAAGGATTTTGATGAAATCACGACGACTTTGCTGTCTTAACGTCTACGGGAAACGCGCACCCCTCATACGGATCGATTGCCGAACTTACCGAGTGCAGAGCACAAAATTTGTCCGCGTTAAAAAATGTTCGTCTTAATGCGGCAGAGCATCGCACTGCGTATTATTTCACGCGGGATCCCGCACCATTCATTACCACGATATAGTCAAAAAAGTTAAAGTTCGCACTTGTATTTATCGGAATTCCTATATAATTTGGAACACATTGGCAGTCGCCACGTATACAATACGATTTAGTTCGAAAAGTTTCTGCTCCTGTTCCACCCGTCTCCTTTAGACTTGCGTCCGAGTAGTCGTATTACACGGAGGTTGCACGTGCCATCGCGTGTGATGAATATTTTTCGAAATCATCGCACATTATTCGAGAAGTGTACGAAGGGGCCGATCGATCAAACCGTATATGGTAAAACGCCTATCCACGTACACGCCACCATGACAATAACCATTAGAAAAACGTCACGGGCACAAAATCCAGCTGATAAGAGTAAAAACTATAAATGTTTTGATAGTAGTTTCTATATATCTATTATAATGTGGTGACTTGCAGAGAAGATTGAACGGTTTGATGATGGGGTTGTTTTTTTATTTTAACTATTCCGATATCACTAGCGGCCGTGATCAATAACAAATGACTGGACACGGACCATTTGATATTCAATACCTACGCTACCGCTGCCGCACCCGATATCGTTTTAAATTTATTCAATATTGTACGTGGTGGCGATTCCTTCGCGTCCCTGCGGTAAACCGATAAAATCACACGTTTGAAAATCTAAAATCTGAACTGTGACCGGTTACAATTGCGCTCTATAATTTTCACAAACTCACCCTAAACATTTTTTACGTATCGTCTACTTTCTTGTTTAGTAATTAAAGAAAAAATTGCGCTATTCTATGTAAAACTCGTAAAAACATTGTTTTATAGGTGTCTGCAGGATGGCTTACAGAAGAAGCGTGAAATAACGCGTTGCAGACTCGTTTGAAACCATATTTAAACGTTTCGATTTAAGGCGATGCCAAACAACTTGGTTTTGGTATTTTACAGAACGCATTGCACACGTTTAAAAACTTTCACGAGTACTATAATATCGAAAATTTATTTGCAGCCGTTATGTTCATACATATTTTTTGTATGATGATTTCGCGGTACGAGACTGTATGGTGTGTGCGTGAATATCGTTGGACGAGTGAAAATCAGTAACCGCGACACGATAAACTCGGCGCAGTATCGTTTGCACTACTCATGTTCGGATTAAGGGGTGGGGGTGCTAGAGGAGCAAGATCCGGGGTCCACATTAGATATCAAACAATATAGTGGGTCCCTGATGGATAATATACATTTTTTTTGTCTCTGAAATATATTTGTTTGCGGGTTATCAATATATTTTGATTATGGTTATGACTTATGAGCTTCTAAAATAGTTTGGCTCCAGGCCCGAAATTATCTTAATCCGGGCTTGGCACATATTCGATGTGTACCGTTTCTGCGGACATTTCATTTGTCGCGATTCGGCGGAGTCGTTCCTATCGTCCACGGCGGTAATTGTAATCGGAAGAAAAATGAATAAGGCGACGACGAACAAGACTCAAATCGGCATCTGCGGATAGCGGCCGTTGTTCTGATGAATCGAAAATAATATAATAATAACAGTAAACGGTAACTGCAATACCGCACGGTGCGCAATACTGTTACCCATGTTCGTGGTATACGCGAGAGAGGTAAATAAGGTACTGAAGAACACGGACATGGGTGTAGCGAGGATGGGACAGGGGAATAAAGTTTTACTATAAAACCGAAAAAGCAAAAAAAAAAAAGGCTATCAACTGCCTCTCCCCTGATTAAAATCCTAGCTACGCCCATAGACACAGAATGTATTACCCGTTGGTGCGGAATTCGCGAACAACTATGCGCCACGTGTGTTTGCGCTGCCGGGCCCGCCCCCCCCCCCCCCCCCCCCCCCCGGGGGTTTGGGGCCCCCCCCCCCCCCCCCCCAAACGAAACGCGATTATTTTTATTATCGCGTCATGATAAATTACTATTAAAAGCAAAGTAGTGCGACGACCCGGTGGACCGGTTCCCGACGCGCGTGCAACGGGTCGCGACGAAAACCGGTAGACCGGAACAACGGTATCACGAGCGTCTTTTGGCGCGCGCGAAAAATAAACGAGAATAAAATAACAAGCCATTGGCCGCCGACCACTCACCTGAACTGCATGCCGCATATGTCGCACGTGAACAGCTTGTCGGCCGGCAAGCGGGCCCTGTGGTTCTGTTCGCGGTGCTTGAGATAGGCCGAACGGTAACGGTAACTCTGGCCGCACTGGTCGCACTGGAACGGTTTCTCGTCGCCGCCGTCGCCGCCGTGACCGCGCACCGGTTGCCCGGTGTGCTGCAGGGCCGTGTGCTGTTCCAGCAGCCACGTGGACGGGAAACCCGCCAGGCAAATGGCGCACCGGATCAGGCACCGGCTGGCCACCTCGTCGCTGGAGCTCACGCACGGCCCGATCAGTCCTTGTTGTTGGAGCACCGAGTACAGCGACACGGACGTTTCTGCACACACAAATCAAACGTGCACGCGACGTATTGTTACGCGTCGTCGAGAAACCAACGGGGGAGGGGGGTCGCTGGCAGGTATTTTACGTCTTTTTCCGTTCTCACCGAACGGAGTTTTCCAAGTCGATTTTTATGGATTTTGAAAAAAAAAAAACCATTAGTTTTTCGCGTAACGTTATCGTCGTGTCGTCTGATATAAAAAAATTACACTGCTGATGATTTTACAAAAAGCAATCTAATTTATTTACGTCCAACGAACAACGTGACGACCGGATTCAAAATACTGTTCTAGAAACGTTGACGTATTTTGGATATCGAACAGGTTTTTTTTTTTTTTTTATTAATCAATATTTGGAAGTTTATATGAGCCGTGTCATAGAGCACCACAACTTATGCTATAGCCGGGTTTCTATATCACTATTTATTATTGTTTATAACTCTGCTCATATTAAAACGAATATCTGTTTTTCTAGAATATAGAACACGTGTGATCGGTTAAAATATTTAGAACAAACTACGAAGTAAAAAGAAATTTTAAATTATTAAAGTAAAAATCATTTCTTAAAATGTAGTTTTATCGACATTTTTTTCTTCAAAATTTCAAAAAACCGACTGGAAATAAATGCATTCGCTAAATGAACCACTTCATAAATACGTACATTATCAGTATAATCTACGTATAGAGGTTGATCGCTTGTATGATGCATTAGAGAATATATGAGAGAGAGTACCTACGTGTTTAAAGCGAAAATAATTTAGTTAAGATATATTTTATATAAGTTGTTAACGGTTTTTTTTTTTAGCAGACATCCTAATAATTTTGTTTTTATTCTTTGAACCAGTTTACTTGTTTGAAAATGTTGATTTAAAAATATTAAATAATTATTTAATCTACAGTATCTTTTTATTCATAATCATTTTGATGTTTGATATTTGATGAATTAAAAAATAGTTATTTATATTTTTATTTACTGACAACGGTATAATTAGGCTGGAAGCAAATCGATTTATACATCGAGTTGTCAGTAAAGTACGTGATTCGATGCACATAACATAATACAGATATTTTATGAAAATTTTATTTTTATTTAATATTTAATTTAAACGTATCTATAACCATATTGACATTTCGCAATTCAAAGAAAAATGTTTATCCAAAATATTATTCGTAATGTTTGGTTTATGTGTCTATTATTTGTCCCTAAAGGCAAAGTTTTATCTAAAAAAACAGCTTATCCACTATACACGTCAAATGGCGTATTTTATTTAGTCATGGTTTCTGTGGAGTTACTGTATTATATAAAAATATATTATCTAAATTTACATTTTACCTATGAAATGGTTAGGTTAGTGATCACGAATTACGGACTTAAAGTTTTATTCATATAAAAGAATCTCATTATTAGTTGATTTTTAAATAGTCTTTGTATTGAAATTATAGTAGCGTTGTAGATATATTCATAATAGCTATAATTACATATTTACTGATGCAATATCAAAATATATAGGTACCTGAGCCACTATAAACTAAAAGTATAAATGCTTATAGGTAATAAAAATGATAAGACATTTAAAAATTAGATTTTTTTTTATTGTTGTTAGTGTTTTTTATTAACATTAAAGTGAGAAACTTAGCTCGGTGTACTATTTCAGTCTTATAATGTGACGCGATCATTCTTCATAGTTTTAAATTATATAACAATAACAAAATATTAAATAAATAATATTTCGCACTACTCCGCGCCAATTTAAACACCCTCCACAAGTTGCGTAACAAGTGTCGTGACGGTGTTTTTATTTATAAATATATATATATATTCGTCGGAACTGTGTTCGTTAGTAGGGTGATTATTGTTATAAATCAAAATACTCACATCGTGTGTATTGTTGAAAACGCGTTTGCTATTGTTTTTTCTGTCGCTTATTTCGTTTTAATACGCCAGTTATGTAATAATTTTCTCGATTTGCTTGTTAAGAAATCGAGAAAAGTGTAAGTCTTAAGCAAAGAGAAAATTGTTTTCAAAAATTTTGTGCGCACAAATAAACCTAAATATTAAATTGTATATAGGTATAGAATATACATGTACTTATCTCATCGAAACTCCAAATGTTACGTAATAATATTATATTTTATATACAGTAGTCTGTAGGATTTTATTATACGCCTTTGCAAAACGGAGCTAAAATATAATGCGCGAGCGTGTGTAATAATAATTACATATACTAGTAGAGTAATTTTGTATCATTAGACATAGGTACGTGTTATATATTATATTTCCGTGTAAAATCAAATTAATACATCGAAATGATAATAATATTTTATAACATTATGAGTTATGATTGTATCTATGTGACTGCAGTCTGAATGAAATAGATGAAAATATAAACCACGTCAATTGCTTACAAATGCCCCTGTATTGAAGGGAAGGGCTTTTATCGATTTTTTTTCAATATACATTTAAAAAGTCGAAATACGTTTTGTATACTGTATACCTAACATATATTGAAGATACCGAAGTATAATACTGAACACTAGTCAGGAATTTGAATATTTGTCAAAATCTATCTGATCAGACTGCATACGGATACATATATATATATACGTTTATTCATACAAAGGTAGTACGTATATAGAGTAACGTAGATTTACGTACAAGAGACGAACTACTATATATTTTCAACACGATTCATTCGACGACAGACTCGCGTCTCTAAATGATACGCAAATTTATCTGGAAACACTTATCTCAGATACGCGCCAGTGCGTCGCACGCTAATATTTAACGTACGCGTACGCCTGCCTATATTTACCTATAATAATCGCTGTTATCTGAAATTTTAAATTTGAATAGATGTACGATTAACGCTGTCTAGCCCATCTAGATTATATTTACTACTTACTGTATACTAGAATAAGTTTCACTATACTATTACGACAATTACAATTTTGATTTGGATTTCAAACATATTATTTTGTTTTATCTGTATAGGTAAGCGTAAACGCGTAAAATAAAATATACCGCATAATATCTCGTATATTATTACTATTTAAAATGTGCCTTTGAAGTTAAGAAATATATCATAATAATATGATACAAAAGTATAGAATTTTAATGGATTAAAAAAAAATAATAATCATGTGTATTCTGATACTATTATAACCGTATTATTTAAGATATTTTTATATTACATTTACCCGATATAGGTAAAATACCATGTATAATAAATACTATACAATAGCATTTAGCGATTAAATCCACCGATTGTTCAGGTTTAGGGTATTTCACTGAGCGTAGGATTAATATTATTCTTTTTTTTTTTTACCTGTATTGTAAACGGGTGGCAGAGTCGAGAACCGACTGAAAGCGGAAAATCCTTGTTGTAGAACGGAAACTTGCGACCTGTATGCGGCCAACGTGTTGAACACCCCTTCCACCAAGCAAACTTCCTATTTCATACATAATACACACACAAATCAATCAATGTTAACGTAAAACGACCTGCGTATAATGGAGGCAATTGACCAGTTGTCCGGAAACCATATTATACGCAGTGGACGCATTTTATTACACACGTTATATTGCAAGTTGATAGTAGTAATTTTGATGATATTGATGAGTATAAATATAGTGTAATACATAAAATATATACATATTCAACGCATGTTGTAATAAATATAATGTGTGTGAGTGTATGTGTGTGTGTGTGTGTAGGGTTGTGAAAAAAATAAATAAAAACTCGATTTTTTTCGTACATTAGCAATTTTTTTTATATGTATATTGCACTGACAGAAAAAAAAAACTATAATAAAATACACAAAAAGCTAATCTTATAATGTTTTTAGCACCTAATAATAAAAAATAATCGATGTTCTCACTTGTCTCGTTATCACATTTACTAAAAATTATTTCTTATACGCTACTCGGGGTTCACATCATCATTGTCGTCGTACACGTTATTGAAAAACGAATTTTTATTATATAATACAAATACTGTCTAATCTTATACATAAACGTTTTGCATTGAGTTATAACGTTAATAATTGGGTAACATTACAAAAAACATTATGATTGTGCTATAAGGTAAAAAAAAATTAGTGTGCACAAGTGCTTTTGAAAATGATTAATGATTTTTGGTGACATATATAAATGCTTAAAATGTATTAAAAGATCTTTCGAAAATTAAAAAAAAACTAAATCGACTTAATAACAAAGAGATACTTAATAAACGCGGGAGATTTTTAAAGACTCTCCTTCGTGTTTGTAAACTTCGTTATTTTTGAAATATCACATGTATTTAGATTTTACCCGAAACATATAATATAATATTAATAATGCACGGAATTGTAAAATTAAATAGCCGACTTTGGTCGAGCATTATAGCTAAAAAGTATATACGAGTTGAGCATTATATGACTTGGTTATCGTTATCGAATGTTTTTCCTTTACGTAGGTAGTAATACTGAGCTTATATTATTATGTTTAGATATTAAATTTATAAAATGTAGTGATAAGAATTGGAGCTCTGTTTGGTTAAGAGCGCGTAATGACGAAGATTACAAAACATCAAGAGGACGTCTTTTAAATCCCCTGTTTACATATTTTATAACAAATCTTTTAAATACCATACAATATGTAGCCTATCACAGTCGGAACACCTTAATCCTAACCCACGGTAATCGCAGACGACCATGGCCTAACCTAAAATTAAGCCCATTTGGCCATTTATATATCGTTTAAAAATACCACTGCTCAGTTCGAGTTCAGGTCATATGTTACGTTCGTTTTGGTCCATCAACAAACTGAATAGAATTAAATCATGAAACATAAATGTTCGAAATAATTTCCTCACATAGTGACATTTGTATTTGTACCATAACAATTAATTGAGACTTGCTATTAAAATTGTATAAATTTTTTTTTTAGTAATTTTACTGTTAACTAAATATTATGAAATTATATTTTATGAGACGGATTTGATACATCCTTATTGAAAAGTTTATCATTTATTTTTAAGAAAAATATTTTAATCATATAAAATCTAAGTTAGTTGGTATTGTTATGTACAAATAACTGTAATGTAATAAAACACTAAACATTATTCTAATTACTAAACATTTTAATTATGGTGTAGGTAGTAGGTACCTATATTATTATATTATTCAATTGTATTAATATAATTATTTAAAAACATAAAACTATTATTTTATACTATACTTTTTGTATAGATTAATACATTCCACAACTATAAGTACAATACAAATAATATCGTTAAAAAGAAATCTTATTTAGTAATGTAATACAATATATTATTCTAATCAACTATTGAAAAAATATCACATTCTTGTTCCTTCACATCTCGCTATTTTCATTCTGGTATAGAATTCGACATTACGTACATTTTGTGTTAATCTACTTTTAAGTTTTAATTATGTATAATAATAATTTTATAAAAATGAGAAAATTTGATCACACGTGTAATATAGATTTTATCAAACAAATAATAAATAAAAAGCTTAAATGACTTATATTTTGCGACTGAGTGCCAATAATTAACAATAAACGGTGACATGACTGGTAAAACGTACATTATAATATATATATTATATAACACGGTAAATGTTTTTCGAAAATATAATAATTTGATTCTTACACGAGCTCTGGCGAGCACACGTGTCTTTGGGAAAATGTGTAAATATTTATGAGGTTAATATTTTCGATACCCTTAAATTATATAAATAATAAGTTTATAACGATGAACTGGATTTTTATAATATTCTGAGTATCATTAAAAAGTTTAAAATATGGACGAATGAATTAAAATAAACTCGCCGTAAAACGATTTCAAAAATTAAATCCTATAATTAAACCAAAATTTAGCTTATATTTATTGAATACGTATAATTAAATACTCGATAGTAACTAAAAAAAACAAATGAGAGTAAAGTAGTTTTTTGGTTGGTTAACTAAATTATAAAATAAAATAAACAACAACAATGTTATTAACGCCATACGAGTATTTTATCATTATTAGCGAAACTAATAATAAGATATAATCGACATTTTTATGTTAGTACTTTTGAATGTAAATTAATAAGCTGTATTGGTTAATGTTAACGCCTACTTCTGTTATTTAAAATTATATATTGTTTAATTATTTATATAAATATATAAATTCTATTATATACATGCATATCACAGAAAATTAAATCTACTGACTTATGAATAGGCGCTAGAGCGTTATAATAATAATGATGAGCGAAATTAAATTTGTTAAAAGATGTACTCTTGATTTTTGAACCTTTAACCAATTATACACACCGTTAATTGTTACTAATGTTAGAAGTACTCAAGGGTCTAGATGAATATAAAGTTTTCAAAGGTAATTAGTTTGAACGTAAAAAAAATAGGAGTTTTTTTTTGTCGAGAGAGTATTAAAATAATTAAAATTCACGGATGAATAAAATGTCCTCGTGTCGGCGAAATAATAAATGATGCGTCCAACTCTTTTAAACTTCTGTCAATTCTGTGTGAAAAGAGAACATCTGGTTTGTATTTAAAAACGTTTCAATACAAATCAAATGTATTTTAAAAACAGTGATTATTGTTTGTTATTGTTAACATTTTTTGATTGAGAACTTTTACAACGATCTGGTATTGCTCATGTCAGAGGCGGCGGCGAAGAGGAGGACGGGATGTATAAGTCATGCACTATACAATACACGTACAGATTCAATCGTTGGTCGGGAATCTAACAGCGATCGCGGGCTGTTCAGTTTTGTTGCCAAACGCAGTAAAGATAAGAATATAATATCCAAAGGATGAATTATTATTAGTCATATGTATCACGCGTATTCATCGTAACTCGTGTTTGAAAATGTCGACAATAAATCGAACGGTGGGTAGCAGCGCAAATGACTGAGATAAAAAAATTCACTATAATGCGCGTAGTATCAACTACGACGGGTACATCGAAGTGAACGAAAAACCATAGACGACTATTATTGTTATTGTGAGCTACGTGTATTCAATTTATATGCAGCTGATGTTGGTAAAAGTACAGTGTGTACGCACCGCCTAAGTGCCAGGCGCGAAGGCGTTCCAGCCAACGATTTCACTGCGCATGATAATACATATGTTTAGTATTCGGTCTCGGTATTTAACGATGAACGCATCATACCTACCATACTGTCATAGTTATTACCTACGACCTACCACCTATATCTTCCCGACGATTTGCTGTTTGTTGCATTGACCGAGGCCAATTTCGCCGCCGCGCGTATACCGTCGACAGGTTACTGGTTAACGCTGCAAGTCTACGAAGGTACCGCCGTGTATGCAATAATAACAATAATATACGAGAGGCATATTATGTATGAATAACGCGCGGCGCGTGGTATTGATTCTAACCTAAAATATTTGAACAGTTTTCGCGTACGATCCTTACATTCGACGACGGCCAAGGGTGGTGGTTGTGGGGGGAAGAGGTCTAGTGGGGGCAGGGGGTCTAACGGATGGGCGGTCGGAGGAGAAGACGAAGCCGTTAAACGTTCCGGCGGCGATCGTTTTTGTTTTTCGTCACGCAACAGAGCGTGTAGAGAGAAAAAAAAAACTGGAAAAAACGCGAAATGCGAAACGCACCACGCGCGGACGACATAAATGCGTGTTGGGGGGAAGAAGAGGGTGTATAGGACCTTTGTCGGGTGCACGGGGACGTGAGCACGCGGGCCGTCAGACGCCAATCGGTGATTTCGATGATGGGTTCAAATCGGACGGCGGCGTTTCTCGAATTCGGGTTGGTTTTAATTTTTACGTTCGAAACAAAATTACCTACGAACACAATATATTTGGAGGATGTTCGTGGCGAGTGTATGTCTTCAGTTCATTTCGGATACAACACAATATAGCGAATAATACAACGTAATAATAATAATAATAATAATATTAATAATTAAAAATAGTAAGTTAATAATTATATATAATTAAAATAATAATATGACGAATATTACAACGTAACAAAATATATAGTAGTATTATCGTATATATGACTCTGAGCGTAGAGGACGGCCACCGGCGGCGCGACCCCATTTCCACTACACCCTATAAGGAAACAATCGTCGTCATGGTGGCGTGGGCGGAGGCGGCGGCGGGGCCGGCGGCGATCCGCTGCCGTGCCTGTGGTGGTGATGATGATGCTGGATGACGGACAAGTCGAACGGTCTGACGGCGGCGGCGGCGGACGCGATCGTCGCGACCGCCTGCGTCATTCCGCCTCCAAAGTTCCCCAACCCTCCGCCGCCAACCAACAGACTTCCACCGCCGCCACCACCTCCTCCTCCACCACCACCTCCTCCTCCTCCGTCCTCCTCCTGGGTTCCTCTTCGGGACTGGGCGACGACACGAACCGATGCCGGCCCGTGAACTTCGGTGGTGCGATGCTTCTCGTGCG